CCGAGGCCAAATGGATGGAACAAGATATGTCAAAACTAATGACGAGATTGATTTTAAATGTGGTCTGGATGTTCATGGATCCCATGAAGTATGGTATCAGTGTTTTGGGTGACCTCTTTAATATTCCCCTGGCTCCAGCACCATGCCAAAATATCTTGTTGTACGCAGGAAACATCAAAATGTACTTGGTAGGTTGCCATGAAATGTAATGAGAACATTCATGTTCCCCAGAGGACAAACCTTTTCCATTTTTTATAGGCTTCCACAATTTCCTCTTACATCCCTCTCTGGAAAAAATGTCAGCTTTGCAAAAAAGACATAATAAAGTCCTTTTACTGTTCATGCTTTAAAAATTAAATGTCAGTGTGTTTGCTCAGTTTTGGGGAAACAGAATCTGAAGCATTATTGGTCAGGCATGTGTATACGTATAAAGAATTTGACTGCATTTTTGCTCTGAATTTACCAACACAGAAATACAAATACAGCTTCAAACTAGTAACATCAGCACTAAACACAAAGTACAACTGATGTGAAAGGCATTAGTTTTGTAGGTATTGGACAAGTATGAATTTTGATCAAACCACAAATGATAGTGCCTGGGGAAAAGTCAGGAATTTACCAAAAGCATTAGGGTAAACCTTTTGAGAACCATGAATGTACCTACAAAAGTTTGTGCCAATCCATTGAGTATGTGTTAACTTCAAAGGAAAAGTAAAAACCTTGACCTGCTGGTGCTGCTACATGTGAAGTAAAGGCCCAGACACACCAAAGTGACATCAAAGAAATAATGGCGATGAAGGCCGACTGTTGCGTTGCCTTATGTTGCCTGTGATCTGGCCAAAACATGCACTTGAACGCACCTCAAGCCTACAGATAACAACCAACTAGCATGTATGTTCTGCACCTGCATGAGAGGAAATAACTCTCCATACCAGCAGGCGGTGGTAGTCAGGTTTTATCATTCATAAAAGGAAACCTGACGACGCGTTCAAGAGGTTTGTCAGCCAGTTAGCACAGTAACAACACAACACAGTGTTGGAAGAACAAGTTATATTTACCACGCTAGCAAACAATAACCCCAAAGATTATGAAGCATTACTGCTAAAGAGCTCAATGCAACAAAAAAAACAACATATCTAATATAACAACTTTGTTTTGATCTCACGCCCTCTTTAGGCATTTGTTTACTTTCCTCACTTCCATTTCTCTTCACGTGCGCTGAGCTGAACTGCTTATCAGAGTAATTTCAATCACTGACCAGCTCTGTCATGTCCGCTGCCGATTCAATGTGTTGAATCAGCTAAAAAAACAGCCGACAAGGGGCGACTATTGCCACCAGTGCAGGACACACCGCTAAAACTAGGGCAACAGATGCTCATTGACGGCACTGACTGATGGTTGAATGTCAGATTGGTGTGTCAGGGCCCCAACGGGATCACCAACGTCGGTAGGATTCTTAACCTCTGGGGACCAAGAATATTTGTACAAAGTTTCATGGTAATTCAGCCAACAGTGGTTGAGAAATTTGGTCTGGACCAAAATGATGGACCAACTGGTCAAGAGACCAGAGAGACCAAGAGAACATTGTCATCTGTAAAGCCACATCGCTAACATAGCTTAAAGACAAAACAAAACCATCTTTTACTCCTGGTGTAGCTTCTTTCAATGTGTTAGGCATGTCGAAAGGTCAGTGACCGGTGACTCAACAACAAGAAATGTCTCCTAGGGTGAGGTGACCAGATATTGTTCACTCTTTGTATCCTGTGACTGCTAAACTTAGGTTTGCTGGTATCTTGCAGACATCAAGAGCATCACACAGCCGCCTGTCTCATCGTCATATCTCTTTCTGTATTTTGTTTTTCCATTGTCGGTCCAGCTCGTTGAGACTGTTGTCATTCCATTGAAGATTTGTAGGAAGGAATGACAGTGGGTGTTATCAGTGTTTATTTTTATATTTATATCTCTTGGTGCTGTTCTCATGCTGTGAATGAGCTTCCCCTTTACTGTGACCTAATCCTAAAACTGTTGAGCCTAACGACCTTCCATCGTTACCGTGGTAATCTGTCATATTAATGAGCTCCGTGTCACTAGGGGCAACCAGTGCTTAGTACAGAGCCACTTCAGCAAACTGGTCTCCAGTGCCCTACTTTTTACATCACTCAATAGACGCTGATCTGGGTACGACCTCTGCATCTGGAGCCACGCTGCACTGGTTCATTGCAACATGCCCTCACCTAGACCTTGAGGAAAATGTACCAGCCTGTAAAGATAAATAAATAAATAAAATGAACTACCCATCCCAGAATCCCATGCCCCATCCATCTTCCCGCTGTCACCTGAAACGGGAGCCCATGGTAAGGTGACCCCAACGCCATGATGGAACAAGGAGGGCCATGTCACTTTGTGAAAACCTCCCCTCAACCATCTGGCACTGCGATAATAGAGCTGGAAGCAGGTGAGCGTTGGTGCAGAGAGGAAAGAGTCTGGATAATTTGTCCTCGAGCACACAGCCTCACTGTAACCTACCGACGACCCCGTGTTGAAAATGGGCCATTCTTTGCATCAAATTGCATCCATTATATTGTCCTTGAGAATGAGGGAATTTCAGGCATGAAAATCAATACAATAGAGACGAAAGGCATGAAATTCTCTTGGGAAGTGGGAGCTCCGGCGACACAGTGGGTGCCATTGTGCCATAAACTTTTCCCCCCAAAGTGGTTTCATGCCTCCGTTTCTGCTGCCTCTGCAGCTATGACCACAACAGGCAACAACGAGACATGAGAGACACATGCAGCGCTAACGTTTATTGATATTCTGTGATGGAGATATAAACAGCATGTGACAGTCCGGGTTTCAGGCTGATTTTTCTTTTGTGTTGTTTGCTGTGCAGAATTAGGAAAAGCACTGAAGCCAAAGAAGCACTTATGAAGTCCAAAAAGGAAAAAATAGTTATATGTACAAACTTTGTTCTGGTTACTGCACCTAAAAGTCAATGTCAATATCTTAAAGATTTAACATACAGTTTGAAGCTGTCTACAGTTGCAGTTCACAACCAGGGGAGGTTTCAAGTCAAGTTTGGGGGGTTACAAGATGATTAATAAAGGACAGCTGAAAAATATCTTTTTCTGGCCTGTACTGTCTTGATCTAACATTACCCTTTTTATTGTAGGTTTTATCTCTTCAGATGTCTTAAACCTTTTCAAAAGAGACAATCTGTGATGGGAACATCAAATTGGTTAAGCCATATGCAACTTAGGGCCCTGACACACCAAGCCAATGGTCAGCCATTGGTCAATGTCGGGCCAGCGCGCTGGTGAGCGTCTGTCGCCCTAGTTTTTGTGAGATGTCCTGCTCTGTTGGCACTAGTCAGCCCTTGTCAGCCAATTCAGCATGTGACTCGGCATCGGACCTGGCAGAACCCGTCAGTGAATGAAATCTAAGTGGTGGTTCAACTCAGTAAACAAGACAAGAACTGGAAGTGAGGGGGTGTTGGTGGCTTAGTGGGTAGTGCAGGCGCCCCCTATACAAGGCTGTTGCCGCAGCAGCCCAGGTTTGAGTCCTGCCTGTGGCCCCTCGCTGCATGTCATCCCCCCTCTCTAACTTACCTGTCCTGTCTATTAAGGGAAAAATGCCCTAAAAAATATCTTTTAAAAAAAGGGCGTGAGATTGAAACAAAATTGTGATATCAGGCAAGATTATTTCTTTAGCCACTGAGGTCTTTAGCAGAAATGGTTTGTAGTTGTTTTCATTATTGTTCGCTAGCACACGATAAATATTCTTTGTTCTTTTAACATTAGGCTGTGTTGTTATTGTGCTAACTGGCTAACTATTACCATGACGGTCTTCTGGTTTCCCATTTTGAATGACAAATACAGACTTGGCATAACACTTGCTAGTTGGCTGTTGTCTTCGTGGTGTATTTAAGCACAACTTTTTGGTGAAGACACAGGCAACGTCAGGCAACCCAACAGCCGGCTTTCGTCTCAGCTAGTTCTCCGACATCAGTTTGGTGGCGGCCTTTAAAACTAGGAGTCAGAAAAGAAGGTTTTGCATTGCTTTTACATTTCAGAACATAAACATCTGCACTTTCTTAGAGGGTTAGATGAGAAGATCGATACCACTCTTATGTCTCTATACTTCATGAATCTAATGCCAACAGCTTGTGAGCTTAGCATAAAGAAAGCTAGTCTGCTGAATCCTCCTAGCAGCACCTCTTAAACTAACTGAACTGCATTTGATTTATTGTTTATTTAATGTTATATAAAAATGTAAAAACATCATGATTTTACTGTGAATTATGTAGTGGAGTATTTCTTAGCCAGGTGCAGTGACTTGAGGAAGTTTCCACTGGTTGCCTGGCAACCTTGGGGTAAACTCAACATGACATGATGGATTCAAATGGGGTCGTTTTTATTGTGATCACAAGAAGAGTCCATTTGATGTTTTTGCTGACGTTTTCAGAAACGGCACAGGCCTAGAACTGGACATGGATGGTAAATTAATGTATTGTAATTTTAGTTGTGTAGAATTTTATATGTCTGAGGAAAATGTTGATATTCCCAATGGCCTCACCTTTTTCCTCTGACGGTACACCATTGCATTACCAGCATTACATGACTCACTCGCTTGCTTGCTAAACTGTTAGACTTGGCAGGTTTCCGATGTAGCATCCATGTTGCTGTTGCCTAGCAGTTGTTCTCTCACAACTTAACCACTTGAACACCAAGCATGTCGTGTGCACCGCTTCCCATGTCGTAACTATGAACTCATGAGTTCCATTTAAATGCAGCAATAAAACCACATCCAGTTGTTTTTCAGTACACATTAAACCAATGAGACACAACATGTTAATGAGCTTTAGTAGTGCTTGTAAGATTCGGTTATCTTTAGACAGAGCCAGGCCAGTTGTCTTGCGCTAAGCTAACAGTCTCCGTCCATGTTTTTCTGTGAATGGTACAGTATTTGACTCTGCTTAATAATATATATATGTGACACTTTGGTTGCTTCAATTTCATATTTTTATTTAAACTCCTATTTTCAAAGTAATATTTGCCACAAAATGACAGCTGTTGTCATATTATATGTAATAATATAAAGCCAGTTTCCCACCTGGGAAAAAATCAAAGTATAGTACCACCATTTTTCTTTCATAAGCAAAAGTCACTTCAGTCCTACTACCATTTACATTTTGAGGGGTGCTGAATATAAAAAAAAAACAAAACAAACAAAAAAAAAAACAGTATACATGAAAATAAATAATTTAATACAAAGTCTCTATTTAAACATGCAAATAAAGTGACAAATCAAAGAGACAACTGTAATTACGCACAATAGGACAGGAGGTTTAATGACTTGTCCTAGTTTAAGTACTTGCCTTGGGTTACCATCAGGAAAAATGGAAACGACAAAGACTGAGTAAAGTCAAATAAACGGGCTGGAAGCAACAATGAAGTCACACTAATCAGAGCAATGCGGACTGCTAATATTATCCAGGGACTGAAATTAAGCATTAATTATACTGTAATTCAAAGTGGTCTACTGGAGGTGGCCACCAAGCAACAGTGGTGGACTCAAATATGAAAACCATGCATGTTACAAAACAGAGGACTTTCTGTTGATGATCGTTCTTTCTCTGACCTTTTTTTTTTTTTAAACTTTATTTCACAAACACAAATCTTTTATACAAACCCCTTGTATCCAGAGAACATTGGTCAAAATAAAATGCTAATTATATGATATTGAGTTTTAAGTATCTCATAAAGTTATTACTAAATGTGTGTTGTATGCCTTCCAGGTCTTTAATATGAAGTCTATTTCTTAGCATTCAGTGCAGCAGTAAATGAACCAGAGCAGTTTAACTCTTAGGTGCATGTTTTTTAATTGACCTTTTCTTTGTAAGCAAGAAAAAAAAAAGTAGGATTATCCATCGCCAGTGTCCTGAGCTCCTCACATTAACAGAACATTTAACAGAAGAGATGTAACTCGACGTGTGCTGTGGAACCAGCTGAAGCTGCTCAGGTGTTCTAGGTACTCCCTACAGGACTGACCGACAAAAGTGGGCGCTACTGTGTGAACTGTTAACCAGTAAAGATGAAGCTTCACAGTGTAGAAGCAGAGAAATTCTTATGATATGAGGAGGAAAAAAAAACAGGTTGTGCTGCATAAAAAGAAACACCAGTCTGTACAAGGTCGAGGCACTTTCAAAGCAGCGTGCACATACTATAAAGGGCAATGCGCGCGCGCACACACACACACACACACACACACACACACACACACACACACACACACACACACTTGTACATGCCGTCAGTCTTTTTTTTTATACTGAACGGGGATGATGACACACTCAAGTCTGCTGCAGCAGGTGCTTCAGCCAGAGTCCATGCTGAACAGCTCGATGCCGTGCGGGCTCCAGTGGAGGCCGACTCCAGAGTTGAAGACCAGGGACCAGACATAGGGGATGAAGAAGTCCTCGGGCTGGTCTTCCTCTACGTACTTAAACTTGAGCTCTGGAAACTTCTGTTAACACAAAAAGAGAAAGAGATGCAAATAAATTTTGCAAGTTGCACTACCAAGATAGATTTGTGTTTCCTTCAGTAACAAAATATGATATTCCAGAATCTGAAATGGTAATATACAAAATGGGGGCAGGGTGGAGGTTGGGGAACCTTCTGGAGACAGCAGTTTGATCAAGACAGGATTTTATAAGTCTGGAAAATGAACATAGTAATAAACATTTTATTCTCTGTCATGATGATTGCCAGGTAACTCATCTACCAGGAATGTGTACTCAACATTTGCGCTGTTTGCATCTCCCGATGAGCAAAATTGACCAACCAGAGTTGGTGATTGTAAGAACAGTGGAAAGACTAAGGTTGAATGAAGTGTGTTTTTCGATAAGTTCACAAGGCAGTTAAGCTACATTAGTCTTAGTTTGGTGAAAGAGATAACCTTGGATTGGCGTACGGCTGTATTTTCTGCTTAATAAGAAAAAAAGATGTAAGAATAACACAAAATGGAGTTCTCAAACTAGTGAATGTGACACGCTTCACGGCCCCACTGACGTGTGTTGTCACCATAACAACTGACGATAATTGCCATCATTAGTCGAATGACCATGGCAAACACTTCAATGTCCTTTCTATTCATTCTGTTTCTATGCTTGTAACAGAAGTTAAATAGAGTTCAACCATTTGTGCTGGAAGACCCTGTGTTTTATTTCTATACATCTATCTGCATCTTATTGAAATGAATGAGGCCGCTGCAGTTTTACATACAGTGCTGTTGTTGGTCTGAACATGGCCTGACATCAACACCATCCAAACATTTCCTCCAGCCACATTGGATATTTATAAAGTGCTGTGACCAACACAGTGACATCCCTGCTGCTACACAGGTAGGTTAACTTGTGTTGGCCTCTTGGTAATCAGTCTTCATCAGGTACAGTAGCTCACTGGCAGGTGTAATTCCATCTGTCTGTAAGGTAAAATTGCTTACAGCTGCCTGCAGGACAGGTATCACTCCGCAGTCCCACCAATGACCTCTTAAAGGGCCAACTAATGTGCCAATGTCATTTCAAGAGTGAAGCGGGGGACTGGATATTGACAGATACACTCCGACTGTCACTCAGGGTTTGTTCAGAAAACTACCCTGAGATAAATGAGACCTTAATACACAACAAAAAATAAATAACGAACAAACAAAAGCTAATCTAATAAACTGAAGTGAAACATAAGGGTGTAACTTTACAGTGCAGTCTGTCAGCCAATGTGACCTTATTGTTTGGACCTGTGGAGAAGTGCTGAGTAACCTGATTACTTGGTAATAGCCACTCGACCCTTCAAGCTTCAGCTTGTCATGACATGGCTTGTTAATGGACAAAACACTCACTGAGCTGGACAGGGAGAGGTTATCAAGTTCATACTGTAGGGCCTCAGTGGTGATTATGTCCAAAGCTAATCCACTGGGAAAAAAGTGACATACACACGTGGATGTAGACTATAGGGCTGTGCCGAATGTCATTTTGTTTACAACCGAAGCTTCTATTGAGGTTTATGAATGAAGCTTTAAATGTCTGTCATCATATCTTATGACAACATCACCATAAAGATAAATAAATAAATAAATCCTCAAAAGAATCATCAAATTAAATGAAGTGAATCATTGGATTAAGTGAGTTTTTTAAATTAAATCCGCTTTTTTTAATGAATAAATGAAATTTATGGTGCTGATAGATTGCTGCCAGACTGCCCAGTTAATTCAGGTGCATGCCTCCCTTTGTGTTGTTTTTGAAAAGCTAAACACCACCAAATATAGATCAAAGCACAATATGTTGTGTCTGTCTGGAAACAACTGTACACAACTACCGTTGAAATGAAATTCTTCAAATAGTACAGTACTAATAATATAAATGTAGCCTAATCTTCATCTGTAGCTGTGCAAACAATGGGTTTAAACAGAATGAAGAGACAAATTTAAAAAAAATTTGCGTAGCATTCAAATGTCGATTTAGAATTTGAATGATGCACTGAAGCTTTGAACATGCATACTTATTACGAATTTCTGAGTTGAAACAGTTAGTCGATAAGGCAATTAATTGATCTGCAGGAAATTAATCAGCAACTATTTCGATAATCGACTAATTGCTTTCATATTTTAAGCAGAAATGTGAAAATTCACAAGTTCCAGTTTCTCAAATTGGAGATACTTAAGTGTTTTCTCTGTTTCTTTCTTTCTTTCTTTTTTTTAAAGATATTTTTTGGGGCATTTTTTAGCCTTTATTTGATAGGACAGACAAGTGTGAAAGAGGGAGAGAGAGAGGGAGTGACATGCAGCAAAGGGCCACAGGCTGGAGTCGAACCTGGGCCGCTGCGGCAACAGCCTTGTACATGGGGCGCCTGCTCTACCACTAAGCCACCAACGTCCCCTTGAGTGTTTTCTATGTCTTCTATGATACTCAGTTAAATATCTTTGGGTTTTGGGTTGCTGTAAATCGCAAACTGCAGGGCTAAAAATTGAAGCCAACAAAGAAGTGCCAAAGGCTGCAGTTCCTCTAATGACCACTTGAGGCTGGCTCCAGAAGTGAGTCAATCCTCATAGACCCCCATGTTAAAATGCACGACTTCAAAGCAGAAAATAAAAATGTGTACAGTGTGGTATAAGAAACGATTTTGGCCTCTATAGTGAATTTTGCCCTTCAGGACAACTGTACTGAGGGAGATTTTTTTTCTTATATTACTCACCTGTTTACATTTTATAAAGGCTTAACATTATGCATATACAAGGGCAGGGCTTCTTAAGTGACAGGCTATCTGCAAGGCGTCACTACAATCCATGAGTCAGATTCACCTCTCGCTCCTCCACAGCTCTACCCTCTGGTCACTACTGGCTCCAAAAAACTATGATGGCTATGGCCAAAATGCCGAATTCAAAATGGGAGTCCACAAACTAATAGGTGACGTCACAGTAGCTTGGTCAATTACTATACAGTCTATACTACAGTCAGTGGTTGCTTGTTGGGCAAAACAAGGGATTCAAATGAGCAGCTTGGGCTCCGGGGAACTGTGATAGATATATTTTATTATTTTGTGTCATTTATGGACCAAACAACTAATTGGTAAATCAATTATTTTCACTATGTAATGTATAACAAGAATATAGAGAAAAATACCAATCATATCTTGTTTTATTCGCAATGATGAAAAACAGAGGAAAAGAAAATCCTCACGTGACAAGCAAGAATACGATAATAGTAAACATACTTGTTTGAAAAGTGACTACAGATCCTTACAGTTCAGTTCGACACAATCTCCTTTTATTACAGGATGTGCTGCTCCTCTCTTAAGTGTCTACGTAGGAAATACTGGATGTTCACGTCTTTTTCCAAACCTACTTGAAGCCAACACAAACCCACCTAACAGCAGGTAGGCAGCAAGAGAAGAGAAGAGCATCAATAATACAAGGGTACCTCATTAAATCCTCCTGTCTACACACGCATGTATATGCACACACGCAGCCAGTAATCAGTCTGCGGTGAAAGACAGACGCGGAGGGCCTTTATGTGATGGTCCCAGTCCAGTCTATTGAGTCCTGGCTGGCTCTATTCACAGCCACACTATCAGTATCATAATGACACAGACAGAGGGGCTACGGGGGTCACAGGCCATATGCCAGGCTACTGAGGCCAGACCACACACACCACCGCCATTGTGATGGCGAGACACAATGCAGGAGCTGTATTATCTGGCTGGTATTTGTGTGTAGGTGACTGTCTCGTAGGCAAGCTTACCAACTCATCAAATGTTCATATGACACTGATGGTGAAGGTTACTCAACCCAGGCTCACATTTACTTGCCAGTACAGAGGATGTGGTGTAGTTTTTAACTTTGAGATGGAAATGATTTTGTTTTTTTAGCAACTTTGTTGACTCTTGAGCACAAACAAACCAAAAACAGGAGGCAGTCGAGCTGATTAATGTCTGCCGTAATCATCTTGATAAATGAAACATAACTACTTATGCTAATTATGTCATTAAGATAATTAAAGCATTAATCTGCAAACACTGCTATGTCAACAAACGTGTGGTATTAACATTGTTTCTATTCTAAAGCATTATAGAATCAAAACTCCCCCCTCATTAAATTGCAAATATATGGGAAAAGTGCTGCAAAAACTAAACAGATCATCCATATGAGGAACATGTGGTGTAAGCAGTAACTGTCATGTAATGTCTTTAAGTTATTGTTTTCATAAGAACACGTCTATACACAGACATAAAGCCTCTGTGGCTACATAATGTCACATACTGCAGGTTTCTGTAGAAGCAGGACATTAAAAGAACAATATTTCAGTTTATATGTTCTCTCAAACCTCCACTGGATTGCAGCTTAATATGAGGAGCACTTGATCATGACCTCTGCATGCAGCATGTTCAGTTTACAGGAACAAGTGAAACAAATCAGAGCTCGACTGTAAGCACACAAATGGTCCTTTCTCAGCCACAGCTGTGTACATTTGAATGCTTTGTGCCTTTGTATCCATTGTTGTAATTGGCCTAACATCAACAATAAAGGCAGAGCATTCCTTTCAACCCCTGCGTTATCCAAGGGTTAGGGGTAGGGGTAGGGTTACGATTTCACAATTATCGCGATAACGGAAATTCACCACAACCAACTTATTCATGTATCGTTCCATCCATAATCCAAAGGTTACCATATCTGTAGCTCCTTTTACACTGCCAGACTTTCGGCAAATCTTGGGCCATTTTGCAGGCAAGCTGCAAGCGTTTAGACACACAGAGCCGGATTGGCGAGTTGATCCGAGGTGCCCAATTTTCCACCGCGTAGGGGTAAACATGCTGGCGGAACCTTTTTGGTTTGAAAAAGAACTTGGCGCCCTTCCTCCATGGGAGGGGCTGCTGATGACTTGTGGGAGGAGCTATTGATGACGCCACACCTGCCACCAACTGTCGGTGGACTAACAAGAAACAGCTGATAGCAGGAATGAGCAGCTAGTAGCA